TGTCGTTGTTTGGCAGGCCTGGGCTGGATTCAAACCTGCCACCTTAGGTGTATGTGGCTGGCGCCCCAGCCACTTGAGCCACAGGCACCGAGCCAAACTCTTGGGCTTTGGTGAGTCTCTTGCCTCAGCCTCTCAAGTAGCTGAGACTTACAGGTGCTTGCCACGATGCCTGGCTAGAAATTATAATTTCAAAATTTGTCAACAAAGAGGTGTGGATGATGTGAGCCAATGGGTGGAAATGGTAGGAGGTGATAATGTTTATTGGTTTTTAATTTTGAGGTGTGATTTGTTAATCTTGTTGGTTAGTCAGACCTTTGTGTTAAATACTGGGGAGAGCGAGCTACTGTTAACAGCACACAGGTTTCCCCTTTGATGGTAGTTCATAAGAAGTTCAAGTGCGAAAATGTGTATGGCTTAGTATGGAGAGCTCACCCCATTAGAAAGCTAAATACCTATGAATGGTGGGAGATGAGTGTCATGTTTTACTTTTTTTTCTTTTTGAGATGAGGTCTCACTGTGTTGCTGAGGTTGGTCTTTAATTACTAGGTCAAGCAGTCTACCTATCCCAGCTAGCTGGATTATAAGCATACACCACTATACCTAGCCATGTTCACAATTTGAAACCAACATTTAGCATAGAGCCAGGTAAAAGTGTTAGTATTATGTGGTATTTATTAACCTCATGTGATTTAATGGAAAACATTTCTTTCTCTTTTAAAACAACTGAGATAAAAACCCAGTCTTGAATTAAGTTTGGAGAATTTTCAGGTTATTTAAATTTTTATCTTTGTGGCTCTCTTTTTCAAGCTCCCAGTGGAAGACTCGTGCAGTTTACCACCCCATTCACTGTCCACTGAACTGCATTCAATAGTGCCTGAATCTACTGAGGACATTCTCTTGAAGGGTTTCACTTCCTTAGAAATGGAAGAAGAAAGAATCGAGACTGCACAACAGGTGAATTGCAGTACTTTTTTGAAGGATGTTTGATTATTTTAGATGTCTCAAGACAAGGCTAATAAAAAAGGTTCTAATTAAAAGTTCTGAACATTTCACATATAGTTAACATCAAGTCTTTGTAGAACATTCTTGATCTTGTGTTAATTGTGGCTATTTCTTAAGTGTTTTCCATGTATCTACTGTCTAATTATTTTTGCAATATAGATAAAAAATATCATTTTCCAAGTTCAGATGTTGGATAGCTTATTGTATTTATTAAGGTTTTAATATTTTGTGCTCTTTAGACTTGCCCTGACTATATCTGTATTAACCTGTCCTCCTGTGTGTGGACGGGTTACTCTCCTTGTTTGTTGCTGGGTAATCCCTTTTTTAAAAACCTAAATATTCTCTTTAGTTTAACCCTTATAATTATTTTTCAGTAATTTAGCATGTGTAATTTTATCTTGGTTTTTGCTTATTTCTAATTAGAAACCTAATGTGTAGCAATTTCTTCTGCCACTTCCCTTGTGTCCTCTTTTTTGTACTGTTAAGAGTCAAAGCTGAGTCTTTGACAAGGTTTTGTTTTAACAAGTTAAACAACAAAGCAAGTGTACTGCGTTATATATATGGTAAGCCTAGGCCGGAGTGCTTTAAAGCCATTAAGAAAGAGCTCCCGCTCCTGAGTTGGGCTGACCTGCATCTGAAATTCAGCTCCATTCCTTATCATCTTTGGGAGCTTAGGCAAATAAATACTTATCTTGGATCTTTAGTTTCCTAATTTGTAAAACAAGGATAATTATATACCTATCTCATAGAGTTTTTGTGAGTGTTAAATAAAATAATGTATGTGTAAATATAGTATGTGGCATGCACACAATACATGCTCAGTGAACGATAGCCAAGGTACATGGCAAGCTTGCAAACCCTGGGCATTGAATCTGACTTGAGAATTATAGAAGGAAGATCATCTTGCATGATGTCTGTGGACTTGTTTAGACTATTTGGAAAAAGAAATCTTCTAGATTAAATTGGTACCTGAATATCATCTCTCTTTAAAATAAAAATAAATCTATTAGGTTATAATTGATAAGACATATAATTTATATACATTTACTATACAATAAAATAACACTGATTATGGGTGTCAGCTGAATAAGTTTTAACAAGTGTATATACTTGTATAATTGCCACTACAATTAAGATATAAATGTTTCTATCATTCTAAAAAGTTGCTTGATACTCATTTAAGTTTAAGCCCTCTACTTTTTTTTTTTGAGAGAGAGTCTCACTATGTTTCCCTCAGTAGAGTGCGGTGACATCACAGCTCACAGTAACCTCAAATTCTTGGACCTAGGTGATTCTTTTGCCTCAGGCTCCCAAAGAGATGGAACTGTAGGCACCTCCCACAACACCCAGTTATTTTTTTGTTGCAGTTGTCGTTGTTGAGCAGGCCCAGGCTGGGTTTGAACCTGCCAGCCTGGGTGTATGTGGCCAACACCCTACCCACTGAGTGATGGGTGCTGCCCCTAACTTCTTTTTAATAAGAGGTATATTCTATGACATTGATAATAGGGTTAGAATTCAAATTCATATTTAGCTGATTCCAGGGTTCATGTTCTTAAACCACTATGTAATATTATTTCTGAGTTTGTATTCTCACAGTTCTTATTAGATAACATTAATAATGATATTTACCCAGAACCCCGTATTACCTACTCAAATTTTACGAACTAGCAAGTAGGCATTAGCCTCTTAGGAAGAAACATTTTTTATACATTGTATCTTTCAAACTCTTAATTGACTCTGAAAATGACTAGTGTTTTTAATGTCCTTTGCTTTTCCTAATATATAGATACTGTTCGTGTAATTAAATTATCTTCTCTTGGCTTAAAACTATTATTAATTTCTGACCCTAAACATTAAAAATTAGATAAGGTGTCCTCAAACTATGGCCTGCAGGCCACATGTGGCCCGCCTAGGACATTTATCCGGCCCGTTGGGTGTTTTTGTCGCCACTGCCTGTCCTGTTTAGCAGCCGACTCATCCTGGGGCCTTCAGTCCGGCCCTCCAACGGTCTGAGGGACAGTGAAGTGGCCCCCTGTTTAAAAAGTTTGAGGACCCCTGAATTATTATTATTATTATTTTTTTTGAGACGGAGCCTCAAGCTGTCCCCCTGGGTAGAGTGCCATGGCTTTACAGCTCAGAGCAACCTCCAACTCCTGGGCTCAAGCGAGTCTCCTGCCTCAGCCTCCCAAGT